CTTTCACCCCAGACGATGAAGAAGATGCAATGGATTGAGTGGTCACTTTTGAAAGTTCAAGAATATTGGATCAGCACATGAAGTTTCAGTGGAAAAGATACACTTTCCTGTGGTTGTTCCTGAATAGCTTACTCTTGAGTTTTTAGGAGATGGTGAGAGTGCTTTCCTGAGGTAAATTACTGAGACTCTTGCATTCCACATAATGCCATTCAAAGGTTGATTGAGGCAACATCTTAAGCCACAAAAAGGAAAAATAATTTTTAGCCTAGCAAGTTAAATAAGCCCAGACAATAAGAATACACTGCTCAAAAAAATAAAGGGAACACAAAAATAAGACATCCTAGATCTGAATGAATTAAATATTCTTATTAAATACTTTGTTCATTACATAGTTGAATGTGCTGACAACAAAATCACACAAAAATTATCAAATTTAGCAACCCATGGAGGTATGGATTTGGAGTTACACTCAAAATTAAAGTGGAAAAAAACACTACAGGCTGATCCAACTTTGATGTAATGTCCTTAAAAAAAGTCAAAATGAGGCTCAGTAGTGTGTATGGCCTCCACGTGCCTGTATGACTTCCCTACAATGCCTAGGCATGCTCCTGATGAGGTGGCGGATCGTCTCCTGAGGGATCTCCTTCCACACCTGGATTAAAGCATCCCCCAACTCCTGGACAGTCTGTGGTGCAACATGGCATTGGTGGAGCGAGACATGATGTCCCAGATGTGCTCAATAGGATTCAGGTCTGGGGAACGGGCGGGCCAGTCCATAGCATCAATGCCTTCATCTTGCAGGAACTGCTGACACACTCCAGCCACATGAGGTCTAGCATTGTCGTGCATTAGGAGGAACCCAGGGCCAACCACACCAGCATATGGTCTCACAAGGGTTCTGAGGATCTCATCTCAGTACCTATGGCAGTCAGGCTACCTCTGGCGAGCACATGGAGGGCTGTGCGGCCCCCTAAAGAAATGCCACCCCACACCATTACTGACCCACTGCCAAACCAGTCGTGGTGGAGGATGTTGCAATCAGCAGAACATTCTCCATGGTGTCTCCAGACCCTGTCACATCTGTCATATGTGCTCAGTGTGAACCTGCTTTCATCTGTGAAGAGCACAGGGCGCCAGTGGCGAATTTGCCAATCTTGGTGTTCTCTGGCAAATGCCAAATGTCCTACACGGTTTTGGGCTGTAAGCACAACCCCCAACTGTGGACATCGGGCTCTCATACCACCCTCATGGAGTCTGTTTCTGACTGTTTGAGCAGCCACATGCACATTTGTGGCCCGCTGGAGGTCATTTTGCAGGGCTCTGGCAGTGCTCCTCCTGTCCCTCCTTGCACAAAGGTGGAGGTAGCGGTCCTGATGCTGGGTTGTTGCCCTCCTACAGCCTCCTCCACATCTCCTGATGTACTGGCCTGTCTCCTGGTAGCGCCTCCATGCTCTGGATACTACACTGACAGACACAGGAAACCTTCTTGCCACAGCTCGCATTGATGTGCCATCCTGGATGAGCTGTACTACCTGAGCCACTTGTGTGAGTTGTAGACTCTGTCTCATGCTACCACTAGAGTGAAGGCACCGCCAGCATTCAAAAGTGACCAAACCACCAGCCAAAAAGCACAGGAACTGAGAAGTGGTCTGTGGTCACCACCTGCAGAACCACTCCTTTATTGGGGATGTCTTGCTACCTGCCTATACTTTCCACCTGTTGTCTATTCCATTTTCACAACAGCATGTGAAATTGATTGTCAATCAGTGTTGCTACCTAAGTGGACAGTTTGATTTCACAGAAGTGTGATTGACTTGGAGTTACATTGTGTTGTTTAAGTGTTCCCTTTATTTTTTTGAGCAGTGTAGTTTAAAGGTTGATAAATCATGTTGAAAATTGGGTAAATGGAATAAGCATGGTTCAGCTAACATAGGAAACCATTTGGTATAAACATATTATTTGGTCTTGATTTTTAACTAGGTTCCTAGATTTTTATAAAGTTTAGAGATTATTTATATTTTCTGCCCTCAGAACTGTCATCAGTGTAAAGTAAGATACTGAGATTTCTTCTTCCAGTTTCAGAACCATATTAATCTTCTAATCCAGCATCCTCAAGGTTAAATTAAAACTATTTTCTCTCCTACTGTGTCAATCTTCTGCTGCTAACATATGGGCACTACCAGCTACATATTTGCATCATAGTACCAACTGAAGTTTGGCTTTCCTCAAAGAACCATGGAAAACTTAGCTTAGTGAATATACTTTATCATTTTGTATTATTATTAATGCTCTACATGGACACAAATAGTTGTGAACTAGATTAACCATGTGTGAAAGTCCCCCTCCCCCCAACATGGAATCAGGAAAAGGACTATAAGGACTAAAACACATTCATAAAGGTCTCATCTTAATTGCATCTCACCAAGAGATTTGGAACAGTTCCAATTTTTGCTTCTCGCTATTGGTTTCTCAAAGCAACTTCTATGATAAAAGCTGTTTTACCTTACATCTTCTGAATATCTAATTCTCCTTGGGACATAGACACAATGATAATGTTTAGCAAGTTTAGTAAAGGAAACAAAGAAAAGCAGGTGTAGATATGGATCAGTTTATCTATCATTAGAGAGAAAAACAACTCTCAAGAATCTCTAACAAGGTGGCATGGTTTAGAACTGGTCTCTTACTGCTGTTTAGTTTAGGTTGTTTTTTTCTGACTGAAGTGGAAATTGAAGATTTGTATTATTATTAATGCTCTACATGGACACAAATAGTTGTGAACTAGATTAACCATGTGTGAAATCATTTCCCGAGTTTGGAGTGTTAATTGTGTCCTGCAGTAGGATGATCAACTTCAGATGGCTCCCTGGGCAAGGAGAGGAACTGATGAAGACACAATTGAAATTTTGAACACCGCAGAAGAACTTCATAAAATATTCATCTTAGCAGGATGTCTGGGAGAATGGAGAAGCTTCAATTTGCACAGTGAATATCGAGTCAACATGGAGAATTTAGTTAGAAGACCTCATCCTCTGCCGATGAGCCTCTGCAATAGTGGGTGTGGGAACTGTGGAAGTCTGAATGCAAGCATCAGCCCAGCCTTTGGCCTGTGTTTACCAAGTGTCCACACTTTCCCTGCTGTGAGTAATAAAGCCTGCAAATGGTTGCACATGTGTTTCCATTTAACTCCTAGCAGCCATGACTCACTGCTGGGCGCTCAGCCGGCTCCACTCCTTGGCCGTCAGCAAGACCCGCCTCCAGCCTGGCTTCCTGACCCTAGCATTGTCAAAACACTTATACACACTCTTTCAGTGCCTATCATAAATTTCTTTATGTGCCCCCAGGACATTCTGGGGTGATTTCATAGTAAGCAAACATCCTTCTCTTCAGTATCTTCTGGTCAACATTTAGAGTGAATGGAGGTATTGTCAGTGAGCTCATGTGGGACACTGAAGTTAAGGCTTAGTGTGTCTACACAAAGTTCCATAAAGTTTACCATGCAGAACATTAGACAATGACCATTTTCAAAGGTAGTAATAGAATATCGTTTAGGGCATTTTCAAGGAAAGAAACCAAAATTACATGAAAAGAGGCAGAATTTGAAATAGAGACTTCAAACCTTCCCCATTCCCCAACTTTTGTAAAGTCGGCTGTTCTCAACCCAAATATGGCGCCAATCTTACCAAATCCAAGTTTCTCCTCAAGATGGTATTCATGGGGAATACCATACATATGGGGAAAACAAGTGTCAACTGGCATACCAATAATCATTTGATAGAAATTACTTTTTAAAGGGGAACAAAAATGCTCTAGGGTGAATGTTTTAAGAATATGTGCTATGCTTGGCATGTAACATATTCTGTATCAAAAATATTAAATAATATTTAGAAGAGCACACTTGGTTCTTTTTTGTTAGGAACCTGTTTGGAATGGCATTCAACCAATACATTCAGAACATCGGAAAAACCATCTCCTTTACCACAAGAGTCAAAAACAGTCTCCCAAATTTTAAGAATGCATTGGTATTGAGCTTCTTTACTTCATATTTATTAAAAATCAGATTTCTCATTGATGCCAAAACTTAAGGTTGCCTAGAAACGCCATCTTCTTCTTAAGATTAATGCAGGGAGAAAGATGGAGGATGCCTTTTCCAAGATTCTGGAATTAGTACTGTATTGATCACATTTCAGTCTTGATAAACTAAGCACAGTAGATTGGTACTCTGCCTTCTATTTTCTTCAGCAGCTGTTCATTTATTTCTGGAGAACTGACTGCCTTGTTACAGCAGCTAGGCCTTCTTTAGCACCTTGCACCAAGGTTGGCCTTCTGAAACAGCAAAGTCTGAGTGGAGGCAGGGCTCAATTAAGGGCCTGGATCAGGACAGCAATGGACTTGGTGCCATTGGTTCAGTGGGAAAAGGCCAACAGGGTGCCTCCTATAATTGCATTCCTTTTAAGCTTGACTGCTCTTATAATTGTCAAAAAATACTGTTAAAAAAAAGAAGACTCTGGCTGCTTCCCGGATTCACTGCCAGTGGCTGCTCTTAAGTGGGGAACGGCAGCCTGAGAAGGGTGGGGGACAACTGTCAAGCAAAAGCAGCTGAGACCAGGCCCATCTTAATAGCCTTATGGGCCCCAGGCAAAGCAGTGCACTGGGGCCCCTACTATAACTACTCACAGAAATAAAAATGTAAATGGTCGTTGAAATTAAACATGTATTTGCATGTTAGTATCAATTTAAAATGCTGTATTTATGTGATACAAGGTGCATTGAAGGGTTAACACACACATCTAGTATGGGGCCCCTAAGCTCGTGGGGCCCACGGGCAAGTGCCCATCAGGCCCACGCGTTACGACAGGCCCGGCCGCGACCCAATCTCGCAGGGCCGGAGGCGAGGGAAGGAAAAGCAGCGCACACTCTGACCGGAGCAGGCCAACCGCCCGTTTTGGCCCAGCGCCACCAGGAGGCGGGGCTGCAATTCCCTGGAGCCCCTTAAAAAGCCAGGCTTAGGCTGGAACCCGGAGAAGAAAACACTTCCACAGAAGGCAAGAAGCAGAAGCTATCGGCGAGGCGGCTTTCTTTTTCCAGCCGCGGGGACCCTTTTCCCACCCCACCCTTCCAGGCTCTCCACCCCATCCCGAGAGACAGGCTTGACTGCAAGGGAAACTTTGAGGACAGCCTCCTGCGGAAGCGGCACGCGTCCCCCCGGAATCGCCACAGATACCGCGGCTCAGAGGACAGAGCGGGGGCGCGCGCGCGCGCCTGTCTGGATGAGGCGGCAGGAACCGTGAGCAGTCAAGCCTCGGCCACCCCCTCCGCCAGCCCGCTTTCCCTCCCACCCGCTCCGCAAGATGAGTGCTACGCTCCCGAGCCTCCTGGCCTCGCTGGCCGTCTTGCTCCTGGGGAGGGTGGACCGCCTTGCCGACGCCTGCAGCTGCTCCCCGGTGCATCCGCAACAGGCGTTTTGCAATGCAGATGTAGGTAAGACGAAAAGGAGAAAAAAAAAAAAATACGGCTGACCGCCCTTCCCCTTCTCTGCGGCTCCCCTAGTGGCTTTTCTCGTGGCTTGGTCGACCTCGCATTTCTCTTATCGCGGGCAGCCCCCTTTTCCTCCCCTACTGCAAAGTCACTTGTTAGCGGCCAAAACAACCCCACCCCTTTATCCTGCAAGGAAAGAGGCGCGTTGGGAGAAACCTGGAAGGGAGCCCGCACGTTGATTCGCGCTTGGCCCCTGCCTGGGCAGCGACCAGCAGTTTTCGTCGTTAGTGCGGGCGCCTGAATGCTCCCGGGCTGATTTTGAAGGTCCCTTCGGTTAAAAAAAAACAACCACCACCTTACCCAAGATTAAAAGAAAAAGCGAAGTGCCGGCCCGCTTCGCCTTGCAGTTCGCTTCCTTTCTCCCTCCCTCCCTGCCTTTCGCTCTAGCGCGCTCGCTGACCTGATCCACAGGAATTCATTTGAAAGCACAAAGACAACCGCGGACTGAAATTCCTAATTTCTGGCGATGGCTTTCTGCCTGCAAAATGTAGGCTGCTGCCAGACTCTGATGGAACAGCTTCGAAATGGGGAGGGGAGGGCAGAGGAGGGAGTATGTGGAAACTGGAAGAGAAACGACCGCAAGACGAAAACTTCACAAAGGCAAGCTTGAACCCATATAGGGCCATCTTCTCTCACCCAGAAGGGGGAAAAATGAGGTGTCCCCCCCCTTAGACGTGTAAGGAAAAGAATAAATTCCTCCTTAGACATGTAGGATTTTAGATCTGTATGGCTTTAAAAAAGCAACCGTTTTGGAATGAGAGGTTGCATCCAACCTTCCCTTAACCCCACAAATCGTTTGGCAACAGAGGTAGATCCAATCACTTGCTGGACAGTTCTGTTTTGAATTTATACCGAGTTCTCATGTCCCTCCCTGCTTTGAACTCCAAATGCAAATATTACTCCTCTTGTGCCCTAGGATTTTCCCAGAATTCGCAAATCGAAAGGACATCACTGTTTCCAGGTTGGGCAAAGCAGAATTACAGGGGTTCAAAGAATCAGGGTTTGGAAAGAAGGAAACCAGAAATGGGGAGGCAAAGAAGGATAAAAAAAGCTCCAGAGCTGTGAAGTAGCAGTGGAAATGAACCAGATTTCCGTTCCCTATATAAATATAATCTCTTTACAGTCTCTTAAAACTAGGATAAAACATTTTTGGTTTTCCTCTAAGAGAAGCTGGAGTCCGTTTTAAATGTTATGTTCACCCTGCTGTGTTTTTGCTTTTAGTTGTATGTCATTAAAGCTTTTTTCCCCATTAATGAGTGCTTTGAGCAGCCTTCCAGCAACTGCTGGTCCCTTAGTTGCGGGCTTTTTAGTTGCTCCCATCATCATCAACTTACTTCCTGTGTGGTAATCAAGCCAGAGGCCCAAAGTTTTTGTGGGAGGGGTGGGAGTGAGGGTGGGGAAATCAAACTAAGAACTGTTGTTCACATTTGAAAACAGATGTAAAATCACCCTGAGGAACCCAAAATTTATTCCAAGAGTTTGACAGCCTCCATCTGCCCAGTAACAAAAAAAGTACTTCAGAGGTACAGGTAGTCCTTGATTTATGACCACAATTGGGACTGCGATTTTGGTTGCTGACTGATTTGGTTGTTAAGTGAGTGATCATGAGAATGGACCTGATTTTACGACCATTTTTACTGAGGTCACTTAGCAAATTGTGTTATTGATAAATGAATCGTTAAGTGAATCTGGCTTCCCCAAATGACTGCTTGTTGGAAACTGGCTGGGAAATAGGAACCATTGTAAACACGACCGGGTTGCCCAGCACCCAAATTGTGATCACATGATTGTGTGGGGTGGTTCGATGGCTGTAACTTCCAAGGATGGATCGTAACCCAGTTTTTCTGACATCATTGTAACTTTGGACCATCGTTAAATAAATGGTCATAAATTGAGAACAACCTATAATTGGTTTTGGGATAATTTCTTTGGCCTGAAATCAGAAAATTAAGAGCCATCTCTTTCGGCCTTCCTAACCTTTGGATTTTGATCCAGCGGTCCAAAGACAATCAGATTATCACTTGGAACCGAAAACCAAAGTGAAGGGATAACCTGAATATATGAAGTAGTAATAAGGGGGAGAGCATTTCTGAACCTACATCTTGTCCTAGCTTCTGAGCAATTGTACAAAGTTCCCAAGCAACTGAGATTCAAGAACTGGATGCCCATTTAATTCTTTCTGCTTCACCTGCCAGCTTTGGAATATAAGATTCTGAAGGCCCTTCGTAATAAGCCTTTTATTTCATTCCATCCAGAGTTGTACATTGTGGGTAGTTGCTTTTTGTGCGAGTGGGAAAATGTCTCCAGCAAGACCTCTGTCCCAATATGGCTGAGCCCCCCTCACGAGAAAAAACACACTCCTTGTTTCCATGTTGATTTAATCAAGGCCTTGTGATATCATTATACATCCCTTTTTCTTGGCAGTTGGAAAGAAAGAATGAACGAGTTTAAGGGAGAGAGACTTTTGTTTTACTGGTTTAAACCAGGCATGCTGGGTTGCATCCTTCACTTGTTGCTCTTTCTTTTTCAACGTCTTTTTCTTTTCCCAATTTGCTAAGCTTGGAATCTGTTGAAAGCGCTGGATCTGACAGGGCTAGGCTTCGATTACATCATTTTCTCCCTGTGAAATTCCTTTTTATTAAACCTTAACAAACCACTCAGCCCTCAGTTTTCTGGGCCTTGCTCTACAGTTGGGATTTGAAAATATTTTGGTGGGGCAGCTTTATCTGTATCTGTTCCACTGATTCTGACTGCAGAACTGATATGCCCAATCTGCCTTCCTTTATTTTGTAATGTCTCCAGGAAACTGGGTGGTTGCTGTCAGCAGCAACTGCTTGTAGTTTCGTTTTGCTATCCGGTATCTCTTCCGTCCATGGTAATTTCTGAGTAAAAGAATTTTTGCAGTAAGGATCTTGTGACTTTTTCAACCGCAAAGATGTCCTTCTGTTTCTCAGAATTAGCTGAAATCCCTATTTGCACTTCCTTGAATATTGAGACAATCCTCCTAGGAGCAGCTCTTTGGGGTTAATATCAACTACACCACAAGTCTATAGCCAAGGGGCCCTGCTTGTGCTTTTGCAATTTGAAATTAGACTTACATATTTGAATTTTCTAGGGAAGCACTGTATTAATCTTTTGGAACAGCATGGACACACACACACACACTTTTCTGTTTTAATTTTAACAGCTGGAATGTAAACTGTACTGATAGAGAAGAATATTTGTAGCTCAGAGGTGAACTGAGTTTGTTCAACCCTGTGCTACAAACATTCTTTTCAATCCAAAGTGTAAAATAATGGTTTTCATGAAACACTAACAATAGTCACAAGAAAAATAGATGAGCCTCCTTTGTTTCTTTCAAAACTTCATTAATATTTCAGAACGTCGGTTCCCTGAACATAGAATGGAGTATAATTATTCTAGATCCTTTAAGTATCACAGAGGGAAATTACTTGATGTAGGAAAATACAGGAAAAACACAGGAAAATATAGGTCATAATAGGAGATTTAGTATGAAAAATGATGGGGAGAGAACTACTTGATGGTAGGCTACACAATATGTTGATTTTCCAGAGATGTGACAGCTGTCTATAGTGACAGAAACAATAGATATCTAATAGACATCTGAGAACCAAACTTAGGTGACCAACGGAAAATGAGAAGGGCTGGTTATGTTTCAAAATAAATAATGTGTGTTGGGGGGAAGTTCTCGGTATATTGGTATGTAACCTATGTGTTAGCAGAAGGTTTGAATGAGGAGAAATAATCCACTGAATTAAAAGCATGACATATTTTACACACTACACATAGAACAGACTCAATTATAAAGCATTGAGTACGCCACTTCAAAGTTTTCTGGGAGCATGACAAGCAGAGTAGGATAGATTTGGAGCAAGAAATACACAATGAAAACCTACATGGTACTGCTTTCTTTCCACAACGAGAAGTTTAGCAACGTTTCTTGCCTCCATCTGTTGCAGGCAATAGTCCCACGCAGGAGACTAATTACGTTTCCTCCCTGATGATGTGCCGCTTTTGGACTTTTAATCTACTGAAAGGGAGTTGTAGCTTTATAATCATTGGTACATCTAGCTACAGAGACGGAAGAGTGACACACGTGTGACAATATCATAGTGCAAAACCTGCCCATGAATTCTTTCCTCCCAATGGTGGACATAAGTATGACATCATAGGACTTGCATCAGGACATTCTAATGTATGTTTCACCACTTTTCCCTTATATGCTTATGTTTGTAATGATTAGGGCTATAATCCCCAGTTTCTTCTGATAGCCAGGACTGATGGAATAGTAGTTCAAAATACCTGAAAATAAAAATACCTGCTGTAAGGAAAAATGAACCCTCAGCCCACGTCCTACTTAGGGAGAACAGAGCTGGTTTTTTATTATGTTTTTCTTCTGGATACACTTGGGATTTTCTGCAGATTTCTTTCAGTTTTAGAAGGGGAAACGCAGAAAGCTGTATCAGATCAGACCGCTGATCCACCAAACCCAGTGTTCTCTACATTGTTTGGCATTTTGGGGGTTATAAACAGACTCCTTTCCCAGCATAATTGAACCTAGAGCCTTTTGAAGGCCATGTAATAGCACTGAGCTACAACCTATCACCAAACACTGGACAGAAAAATAAATGAGCTAGTTATAAATCAATTCCTGGTGTCCTTCTTTTCCCATTTCAGAAGAAAGATATTGAAGCAGGAAATTAGCTTGGGCAAGAAGAGCATAGCTGATATCAAACTTTGGACACCAAGATGACTAAGATAAAATGCACCATACTCTCTTACACCTTGGATTTTTAATGTTTAAGAAGGATTATATTTAAAAATCCAATCAGAACATTTTGTTGCTCTGAGTTAAGAAAACGATTTGTCTTGTAGTTCCACCTGCGCATTCCAACTAGATAGGCATCTGAATGTTATTTCAG